CAACATGGGCCAGTGAAGCGACGTCCTCCACAACTAGACTGAAGAACAAAAGGACAGCAACTTGTCTGTTCCCCTTCCCCGATTCCGCAACGCTGTTCCCTCCCCCAATTCCCCAATTAAATCTTAAAAAAAAAAAAAAAATACAGAGGAGACCAGTACAGGCTCCTCGGCTTTTCAACTCGAGGTGGAGGGTGCTTAAGACTTGAAGGGCACAAAGGCCTGGAGGGAGTCAGTTCGCTACAAAGTGCAGAAAGCGTTCCTCTCCACGAGGTCCGGGAACCTGACTCACTTGGTATCATCCTCCTCCCAGCCAGTGACACCAGGACACCGCCCAAGGCGTGTTTGATGAATGAACATATAATTGAACAGACTGCATGAATATGAATGAATGAATGCACAAATGCCATATTACAGCAAATATTTCCTCTCCTGAGGACCTCAGCCAAAGCAAAAGCAGAGATAATCTGCCCAGCCAGTATTTCCCCTCCCGAATATCATGAGCCTTAATTGAGCTCAGAGGAAGATAAGGTAAATGCGCAGATGTAAATGATTTTCCCCCAGATTGCGGCAAATCTTAGCAGAGCCCTGATGGCAAGGTATCAACTAAATCTACAAAATAATGGAAGTTGTTCAGACTTTTACCTGAAAGGAGTAATAAAAATGGCCTGTATTCGTTATGCGGAAGCAATTGGCCAGCAGCACACCCATCTCACTGGATAAGCCTCCATGTCTTTTTTCCTACAGAAGGCAGGCTTTTCCCTTTAGTGTTGGTAGAAAAACGTTTGGGTCAAGTCCTTCCCACTCTCTCTCCATTTTTAGGGCAGTCATGACGCCATTACTCTTTCCTACTCCCTTCCCTGCCCCTCCCCAGAATATGCCCATGAATGTTTGCAATTTATTTTACCCATCCCTTCGTAAAATTTATTCTCACTCCTCACCATCCAGAACTTTCCCCAGCCCCTCCAACCCTACACAAGTTTTGAGTGAAAATGCAAAGGTGGCATCCAAAACCAAGCCACACTTGTCACTTAATAAAACCCCATGAGTACTCTGCTTCGTAAATCAGAGACTCCTGTTAACCTGATAGGAATCACCCAGAATTAGCATTCTCCTCCCCGCTCAATGCCATGGGCACCGAATGACTCACCCCTGCGTGCACCAGCCCCCCAGCTTGCAGGGGCTGTGCTGACATCCTTGTCACAACGCCGCCCTCGATTTGTAACCACGCTTCTGTAGCGGCTTCTCATGCGCCCCGATCAACCCTTTTCACCGCAGTGCCCTCTCTCTAGTTTAAACATATCAGGCTTGGCTCCTCTACCACATGGTAAGAGCGCCAGGAGGCACTCCATTGTCCGACATGATGGGGGGAGGAAGAATTTATCTTAATTTGTATTCTGGTCAAAGGAGGGGGACCACACTTATTATACTTGGGTGGCCGACCTTCATACAGTAAATCTCGAGGCAAATGTGCTTAATATTGGAGATATACTGAATTTTAACGAGTCTTTGATGATTTGGAGGGGCTACAGGGACCTGCTGTACTCATGACACATCCCCATGAGTGTCTGATCCCCAAACTGTAGGGTTTGGAAAGGCCGCTGAAGGGGGTGTGGGGTTTGCTTCTGCCCAGTGGTCTCCTGGCATTGGGCAGGCGCAGCACATCTAAGCCAGGAAATGCTCTGGGGAGCCCTAGCTGGTTTTTCTTTGGGGGAAGGGGTGGGGGGAGTGTTTTGTCTTTTATTGTTATAACTGACATACAACATTGTATAAGTTGAAGAGGTTGGTTTGATACATTTATATATTGCAAAATGATTACTATAGCAGCAGTCGATAATACTGCTGTCATGTCACATATTCATCATTTCTTTTTTTTGTGTGTTGAAAACAGCTAAGATTTAGCCTGTTAGCAACTTTGAGTTTATAGTACAGTATCACTGACTATAATCACTGGGCTGTGCATTATAAGATCTCCAGAACTTGTTTATCTACTGGTTGTAAGTTTATACCTTTCAAAAAACATCTTCCCAACTCCCCACACCCCGCCCCCAGGAACCATCATTCCTCCTCTCTGTAAGTTCCACATAGAAGTGTTTTAGATTCCACATAGAAGTGATATCCTACAGTATTTGTCTTTCTCAGACTTATCTCACTTCCTAGCTGGTTTCTTGTTTAATCTTCTAATATGATTTCACCCATTCACCCATGTTTACGTTTGTACTGTGTGCCTGGCAGAACGTCTGCATTTTCGGCTCTGGCAGGAACTAGTGCATTTGGCCTCCCTCCTTGAGCACCTTCTCAAACAGAATGGGCGCCACGCTCCCTGTCTCCAACGGCCTGGTAAAGGTTTGTCTGCTGAACCCATGATGGTCAATTGTAGCAAGTAGATGAGAGGTTTCATGGGGTCTTTCTCGTCTCCTCTGATATGTTGGGTAATAACGCACAAACCGGGAAGCATGATTAGGTTTTTAAATTATTTTCAGTTTATTAGCTATTTCTCTAATTCTAGAAGAGAACTGTAGCCAAACTCATCCCTGTACCAAGCTGAGATGGACTCAAAAATTTAGATATGGATGTGCCCCATCTCCTTCTTCTATCATCTAACTCACCAGTTTGGGGTTTGGGGAGGGGGAGGAAATTGGGGGTATAACCATTCATTGATATTTATCCTTATCTTTATTCAAGATGTAATTAATTTGAAGGCAGAGTGGAGGGAAATGGGGCTTTGCAGACCAGGAACCAGCCTCAGTTCTACAAACCAAGCTCTCACTTGATTCCTGCACCTCAGCTACCTGCAGTTTTAAGACAGATGTTAGCACTTGCCCACAGCGATGTAAGGAGAAACCAGATGATGACAGAAGGATTTATATAAGAAGGTTTTATATAAGACGGGCCATTGAAATATAGCTCAGAGCCAATTGCTACCTTTTCTGAAAAGTTTCATTATTTAAAAAATAACCAAGCACTTTTGACGCTCAGATGTTTTCCACTGAAATTCTTCAAACTTTCCTGCTGTGCTTACTTCAACAGAATTAAAAATCAAACAATCTGGGCCGGCCAAGTGGCGCGTTGGTTAGGAGTCGGCTTTGGGACGCCAGCTCTGAGCAGCAGGGTCCCGATTCGGATCCCACATGAGGGCCAGTGATGCTGCGCCCTCTACAGCTAAGATGGTGAACAACAGCTCCACCTGGAGCTGGGCTGCCATGAGTAGCCAGTGATGGCGTAGGCTGCAGTGGGGCTGGCCAGCAGTGGGCGTGAGCTTTCGTGAGCTGCCATGAGCCGCCGTCCAATGGCCAGCGAGCGACTGCCTCACCTGGGAAGAGCGCAATGATAATACCAACATGGGCCAGTGAATCGACATCCTCCACAACTAGACTGAAGAACAAAAGGACAGCAACTTGTCTGTTCCCTTCCCCCGATTCCTCAATGCTGCTCCCATCCCCCAATTCCCCAATAAAATCTTTAAAAAAAAACAACAATCTATCACATCAGGTTAAATAAAAATTCTTTTACTTAAAATTTTAAATTTATTGAGATAACAATGCAACTAAGCCAAAGCTGTGATGTCACAATGGCTATGCCACCACTAGGCGATAGGACTTTTCAGCTCCATTATCATCGCACGAGGGCACCATCGTAAAGACAGTCTGTCACTGACCGAAACGTTACGCAGCACACGACTATACTTGAAGGTTATTATTTCTCACAGAAGAATGTGCCAAAGCAAAGAAGACTATACCTGCGATGGAGCAAAAAATAAGTCCTCCAACTAAGTGTCTCTGGAAACTGAGTCTCATTCTCAATCCAGCACAAATTCAACGTCCCTGAAGAAAGCACACGTGTCTCTTCACTCTGAGGGCACACAGTGCCTGAAAAGGTGTGTCGCTCTGTAAATAGACACGATTATGCCACAGACACGCAGGATCACCACCCCCTCAGTGTTCTCCCCTTTCATCTCCAATGTGCCTGAATGCACTTTTGGTGTAACTGCTTTGGAGGGTAAGGCCAGCCTCTATCACAGAAGCGCATGTGACACAGGAGGCGGCTTCTATTTCCCAGTCACAGTGTTAACTGGGGTGCTAACCCAAGGGCACCTATTGTACTCACTGCAGTCATTACCATACGCATCTCCACAGTATCTTTTCACCTCCACTAACCTCTCATCCCCTTCCCACGAGTACCTACTGTGTGCCAAGCTCAAAGGACGACCTACAGGGCTCTACAGAAGCTACGGTTTACTAAGCACTTTGCTGTTTGCCAAGCCCCGTCTAACTGCCTTATGTGCATCATCTCATTTACCCCACACATCGCGCCCATGAGACGGGAACTAGTATCATTGTCCCCGTTTTACAGATGAGAACATAGTGTGGGAGAGCTTGAGTGATTAGCCTCTGTCGTACAGCAAGTAGGTGGCAAAGCTGCAATTTGAGTCCACGTGTGTCTGACTCCAAAGCCCATGTTCTTAACCATTTCCCCTGAAATAACGGAGAACAAGTCAACATGCTATTCCTAAACTGTATGAGTTTTGGGTTGGGATAGCGCCGAAAAGCAAGAATTGAGTGGAATTAAGCTATTTGCCTCTGCAAACCTGCAGAGGACACCACAGCTCATCAGAGAGCCGGCTCAATTCTGGAAAACATCTAAAAGATGTTCACTGCCCTTAACAGACGCTCTCTCTCCCCACCTCCTTTTTTCTCTTAGGGCTAGGAGATGTAAAGCTACAAGAGGACAAAGTGCTTGGAGAACATTACAGTATTTGACCACTCTAGGACAAGCGGCTTGCATGTTCCTGACAAGCCAGCAGTGAGAGCTTGTCAAAGGGACCTCTGCAACCATTTAAATGAGCCCTCAGAAAACGAGGTCTTCGGAAAGAGCACAGTTATACTTTCCTCCCTGTCGGAGTCTACTGTTGTAACCACTTGGATTAAAATGCCCCGTTTTTCACAGTGTCATTTTGCCACAGGGTCACACTCTCTATTCAAGTGAGTTGCAGGCTTTTTTCTAATAGAAAAGAAAAAAAAAAAAAAGCATTAAGTGGCCTCCTAGATTCTAGGTAAAAATGAAAAGAGCAAGCTGACTTGCTTTGAAATGCAAAAGACCTCTATCTCTAGCTTGTCCCAGTGCTCAGGGACCAGGGACACAGCCAGCGTTGTGCTTGCTGCCCCGTCAAGAGCGCCTGACAAACAGCAGCTTGTATTCCAAGAACCAAGGAAGACCCTGGTTTCCACCGAACAGACTTCCAGAAGCTGACGCAGCGCAAATGTCAGCCAGAAGCAGATGGGCTTGTGTGCTGCTGCGGTTCTTTCTAAGGCACTCAGGACTATATTGCCCCAAAGGTCATCAAGCATAGAAACAAAAAGTCAGTCTGTATCATATCCCAGAATGGGTCCCAGCCATTTCTCCACCTCGGTCATAGACATATTCTTCCTCAGAGCATAATCCTCAATCTGCAAAAGAGTAAAAGCGGCTGATTAGACCAAAATGGTACGACTTTTTTAACTGAAGTTTCTACAAGATTTGCCCAGAAACAGTTAAGTACCTTCCATATCCTGTCTAATAGCAACCTACTGAGTTAAGTTGCATGTTTCCTGGGCAGGCAGACAACATGTAGTGAATATCTGATGCTTAGAAGCTGGCTGGGGTGTGGTGTGGTGTGTGTGTGTGTGTGTTCTACATATAAACGGGAGGGCTAGAATTGGGACAATACAATCAAATTAAGACCTTAACTGAGATAAATTTCTTCATCCCTTCCCCCTTGTTTTATTCTCATTCACATGTGAAATAAAATAGTTTCTACAGCTCCACTTAAAACGAGACAAGCATCTTTGAAAGTCAGTGAAACACTTACCTGATCTTTGGAAATTTTTCCCACAGAAAAGTATTTGGACTTGGAGTTGGAGAAGTAGAGGCCCGACACTGCTGACGCAGGCGCCATTGCCAAGGATTCAGTTAACCTAATGCCTCAAGAGAGCAAACAGGAGAGAGAAACTCAGTGACTCCGGCCTTATACAGGCCCTGGCAGTGGGACGACACCCAGTGAACTCTTATGGGACAAGAGAGTGAACATGAACTCATGCCTTCCAAGTGGACACGTGACACAGCGTGAAAGACATGTCCACACTAGTCAAGCAAAGTCCCATCACGAGATGAACAGGTTCAAGACACGCGATGCCCTTTCCCTCAGGCCTGGGAGACTCTCTGTACTCAGACCCCAGTCCTCCAAATCGGTTATAGAGGCCCCCCATTTGCCCCTAAGCCTGGGTCTTCTCAGACAAGGAGCTCCAAGCCTGGAGGTGAGAGCACCAGCTGAGCCTCCCAGGGCTCCTGTGGGGCCACTGCCACCAGGGTGACCCACCGTCAGGCTCCAGGAAGAACAAGCCTGCAGCAGTGCGTAGGAAGAAAACACGCTAGTTTCACTAGGAGTTCAGAACTCAGGGGAACATCAAGGCTGTCTAGTATAAGCCACTCGTTTCACGGACAGGGAAATAGCAGCACAGAGGTGAGGGGTTTTGCCAAAGATCGACCAGCTTATGGCAGAAACGGACTCCACTCCCCACCTTGGATTTCTAATATCTGTGCTCTTCCTGCTAACCCAAAATAACACAGCCTCAGATCCTCCCTTGAATCTCAATTCCGTAACTCATCAGTGTTGATGGCATGCTTTTGATTAATTCCACTGAAAATCGTTAATTGTGTTAATAACAGTGTAAAAGTAAGAGACAGGAGAGCTGAAGGGAAGGGCAGGAGTTCTGTGAGACCAGCACCAAGCGATATGGCCTCTACGCAGATACGGCCTCTAAGCAACAGAAGGAGAAAGAACCAGGCACGAGGTTACCAACGGTTACAAAGGTCACCAAGGGGGAGATTAAAAACAGGAACACACCTGTAATAGGAAAACGGGCAGGATGAGTGAGCTAAATTCCGCTCTGTTCCAGGTTAAGAGACAATAATTAAAACTGATGAATCTAAAAACAGTGATGTAAGACTACTCAATAGTAAGGAGGTAAAATACGAGAATAGAGGTGAGAAAGGATGGGAAAAGGGATGATTCCATTGTAAGCCTTTCCATAGTCTTACACTTGAGCCATCAGCACCAGGAGTAGAAAAGAGCATACCTGCTGCATAAGGACAGATGGACGCTTGCCTCCTCCCAGCACGTACCTGTGCACTGCTCAATGTCCGCAAGTTTCCACATGGTGAGCTTCTCCGTGTGGTCAGGCTGGCTCGGGTAACCGGGGGCCGGGCGGATGCCCCCATAGCGTAGCCTTCTCAGGTCAGCCAAGTCCAGCTGCTCACCGCCGCAGTAAGCCCACAGCTCCCTGCGGACCCGCTCGTGGAGCTCCTCTGCAAAGGCCTGGAGCCCAGAACAAGCGGGCTTAGGCAGAGCAAGACCCTGTGGCAGCGCTGCGTCCACCCCTCATCAAAGCCATCGGGGCACCGCCCTCGCCAAGACCACAGCCAGGGGAGATCTAGCAAAAGGAGACAGGCTGGATTCTGGGCTCATCTGCAGTTTCATTAGCTGCTCTGCTAATGCAATTAATGCTGTTCAATTTTGAACTCAACCTGGGTTCTAAGGTATCGCATTCAATGATCTGAGGAGTCTCAGCCTCTTAATGTAAACATTTCCCATGTGGCCACAAAGAGAAACTGGGACCACCACAGCTGCCCATTCCCCCACTGTTAGCCTCAGGAAAAGCGGGGAAGGCCTCCCCACAGCATAGGTCATTCCGTCCCATGCAGAGGGAGACGCGGAATCTATGGAGGCCGCCAACATTAAAACAAACAGCTCTAGAACAGTAGTCTGTGGTTCATTTTCCAGGCTCCTTGGGAAAACGCCACATCACAATAACCAAAGGGAGACACAAGAACTAAGACAATGAAATCAAGGGTCTAAATGTGACTTCCGATGATGGCACCATTGCAGGGTTTTCCTTTGCCCAAAAGATGATGAGAGAGAACAATTCCAGAATGCATGATTTAAACATGTGTGTGATGTTCAAGTCGGCCTCATCTGACCCTCGGGGCTGCCTCACTTTCTGGCACCGGTACGTGTCCCCAAGGCCCCGCTGCTCTCCCTCTGCCAGGTCCTCACCCAGGGCTGTCCCCAGGGCCCCGCAGCTTTACCTCTGCCAGCCGGTCCCCCAGTGCCTTGGCCATGATGCTGCTGTAGTCATCACACTGCTCCTCGTAGGCCCGGCTCAGCTCCTCCACCCCAAAGCAGGCGACGGCGAACAGGCCCAGGTGGTCCCGCAGGCCCGAGTGCAGCGGGGCGACAAAGTCCGAGAGGCAGAGGTACGGCTCTGTGCTAGCGGGGTCCTTCTCGGCCTGAAAAGCAAGGGGGCAGAGGCGCCGTGAGCGTGGATGCAGCACCACAGCCAGCGGACAGCAAGCTCATCTCTCCAGGAGCAACAAGCTTCAAACATGTCTGTGTGCTCTGCAGTTACAGCCTCAGCCACAGAACAGTGCACAGTGGTCAATAAATATTGGGTTGTCGAAAAGTCATGATCCATTTTTGCAATGAAAAACATAGAAAAAATATGTCATGACTTTTCCGACAACCCAATATGTATTGAATAAATGAGATTTTAAATAATATGACATAAAATGACAGACATACATGGTGAAAAAACCAGTTACCGTATTTTCCCATGTATAAGACACACCCATTTTCGAAAAATTTGGGGTCTAAAAACTGGGTGCGTCTTATACAGTGGTTGTAGATTTTACTTGCATTTTCCACAAGTGATGAGAAGTTGTATGAATTTTATGAAGAATAAAACTTGAGTTCAATAACTTTATGTAATACATTTTTTTCAAATTTTGGGCCCCAAAATTTAAGGTGCATCTTATACAGGGGGAAATACGGTAATTTGCTCATTCAACACAATGATCAAACATTTACTGAATGCCACAGGCACTGTGCTGGAAACTGGAACCCTAAACATTCGTATAAACACCCCCCCTTCCCACTGCCTCCACCGGTGTTTTCAATTCAAGGTCAACACTAAGTTCTGAAAGTGTGCTCGTGCTCAGAAGGGGCCCGCCCAATGTCGAGGCCTCTACTTTGCATCCACAGAAGCAGTTCAACAAGCTGCCAGGTCAGCCACACAGGCCAGGGGCTGCCTGCCGGGAAGGTGGTTCAGGGGCAGCTAAGGAGAGCTCTGGGCCGGCCTGAAACCAACAAGAGTCAGAGGGCCTGCTTCCTCCTTTGATTCAAATCCGCACGTGGTCTCTCTCCACCTGGCCACCTGCATCTCCTCACCCACTTTCCTTTTAGCTGATGGCTGACTCTTCCCTACCACTAAGCTGACAAATAAGACCTCACGCATATTTCACAATCGATAAATACTCACTGACAATGTAAGCAGCTAGGTAATAACTAATATTTACTGAGCATTTACTACAGGTCAGGCACTATTCTTGGTGCTTTATATGAAGTAACCAATTTCATCCTCTCAGTAACCTTATGAAAGAAGTGATTCCATCAACTCCATTCCACAGACAAGCAACCTGAGGCAGAGAAAGCTTGATCGATCCACTAGTTCAAGGTCAGAGAGCAGCAGGACTGGGGATGGACACCACAACCGATGTTCTTGACTACTATCTGCTCTGCTTAGGGCTAATCAATCAATCATTGAGTGGCCACCCAGCAGCTCAGGAGCTATCAGCTCTGGAAACAAGTACAGCCTAATCAACACGGGGCAGAAAATGGCGCAGGCAAGAAGGTGTGTGACAATGGCACATGGAAATGTCACGGAGTCCTAGGCCAGCTGTACAGGGGGAGCTGCTTTCCAGCTATAGTCTGCCCATCAACTGCTCTGAGCTAAAAAAGCCAGCAGGAGATACAGAACTTCCAGGCACCACAAGGAAAGACAGGTGACAGAGCGTCACCACACTTCAGAAGGGACAGCAACCAGAGCCACTCAGAACAGACTCCCAGAGCAGAAGTCGCTGCAGCCAGAATTCTCCCGAGTGGCTGGAAGAAAGCTCCTTCTCAGAAATGCCTACCTGAGTAGGTAACACATACACTGAGGAGTCACTGCATTAAATGTCCTAGCAGCCCGTCACAGACGGCAGACTGTCTGCACATGAAAAGAGATCAGAGGCACGGGACTTGAAGGATGAAAAACTGGGCCAGGAGGTTTCTGACCTTAGTTACACCTGTAAAAGAAATGTTCGCAGTTCCCCAGAGAAGAGGGGCTAGAACTTAACATCAGACCCTGCCTTGTATTCATGGTGTAGACAGCAATGATGTGGCCGCCCTTCTTTGCTGTTTAACGTTTTAACGTCCCAAATTTAAGGATCTCCAGATGTTGTCATGGTCAAAATGTCGGTCACTAGGAATTATATTGTGGCTATCACTTCTGAATGACTGAAATGGCCATAAAACACTGCAAGAATAATTTACTGCAGCCCTTTGTTCATAATTCTGGTGAATTCTGGTTCCGTTTCTTGATTAGGAAAATGACTTTTTTATATCAGCTAGAGACATGCATATTATATTTGCACTTTGAAAGGTGGGGGCATATGAGAGGCGGCCGTGTTGAGAAGAGCCTTGCTCATGACACCAACAGAAGCAGGTGCTGCAACAGAGCAGCCATTGGGGTGCCAACAGGCTGGGCTCCCCTCCAAGCTGCGGACTCAGCACAATCTCATGTCAACCTTCACTCCCTCCTCTGTCAAATGGACACATAAACTGCCTGACAACAAGGCCGTGTGAAGATTAAACAGGGCAGTCCATCAAGAGCCCTGCAAGCACCTCGCACCTCGTCTACATTCAGGAAAGGGTGTTCCCACCCATGTCCCCTGAGAAAGGGAGCCACCAGCCTATTTAATAACATGTTTGAACACAGAAACATGCACCTGTGACAACCAAGGCAGCAGCCGTACCTCTCACCAGCGTCTACCACACAGGAACACGCACGCCTGTTTCTCTACACTGAGGCTGGCACCTCCTCCCCACCATCCTCACCAGGGCCTTGGGCTCGGGCCTCTGACTGGTCATTTGGGGTGAGGTGGGCAGAGCTGTCATACAAAGCTCAGACTTATTTAATTCTTATTTACATTTTTTTCACGCTCAAACCAAAAGCAGAAGCAGCCTCCCTGCTGTGCACCTGGCCCTCCATACCTGTTGCCGCAGCCCGTAAAAGGTGGCTATGGGCGGCGCGGCCGCGGGCTCGGCGCCCTCTGCGTACAGGTGAATGTCGTCCTGGACGCTCTGCGCTGGCCAGAACCCAACCACGCCCCTGGCCTGCAGCTTCTTTTCGCTAATCAGGGCTTTCAGCATAGTCTGGGCATCCTCGTAGACTTTTCTGGCCTCTTCACCTATTAGGGAAATAAGAGTTAAGAATTCACTTAAAGATGCCAATACCCAGCAAAGAATACTTCCCTTAAAGCCATTCCCCTCCTCAGTCATCCTCTTTTCCCCTTTCTCTTCTCCTCCAAATACTCTATCAGTGTTTGTCACGAGCACAACGCAGGGTGGGGCAGCGAAGGGTTCAGTGGTTCCCGCTAAGTGTGGCTCTTGCAGTCTGTTTCCCCAACTCAAGCCACTTAAATTTTTCCATTTAATGAAAGACAGAGCCAACCCTGTGGCTCCTCAAAGGGGTCTGTCACACAGGGTAAAACAAAGCAGGCCATATCCTTCTGTCACTGATGCACATACAACTCCCCTGACCTCACAGGGACCTCACAGGGGACGTGGAACAGGTTGAGGAGACAAGTGACCCCAGCCCCTCTTCAGTGGTGTCAGCACCGCACCTGGTGGCCTCAGCTCAGGGGCTCACACAGGACCTCCCCTGCACAGCAGGCCAGGCTATCAGGACACCCCCGTCTCGCTTTCTGACTCTGTGACACTGAGCTGCCCCTCCCGTAGTGAGGGGCCAGCAGGGTCTTCAGACCTTTGTCAGCAGCTTGGCCCCCCAGCTCTCCCCGGGCCACTCTACAGCTCATCCGGGATCATTCAGGAATGCTCGGAATGAGAGCCTCCTCTCTGCCTGCTGTGGCCCGAGCTGGCCTGAGAGCTGCTGGGTCACAGTGTCCTCACAGACACACCAGGGACCCTCCAGGCAACAGCAGGGGAGCAGTTTCTAAGGCTCTTCTCAGCCCTAGTCCACACTTCTCCCACGCCCCCTCCCTCCTGCTGATCTGGCTATGACCTAATCTCTGAATGGCTTAGCATTTGCTCCCATGTCTCTAGGGGTAGGTTTGGGGGTGGGGTTGGAGGTGAGACGTGGGTCCAGCAGTTTATGGACTCACCCACTTCTCTAGCTCCTCTCCCCAACGCCCCTCCCCCACCAATGCTCTAGGCACAAAGGACTCCTTGCAGCTCCCCAAATCGGCACGTGTCTGTGCCTCACACTCTCCTCTCCCTGGACGTCCTTTGCTTCAATGCCACCTCACATCCCCAGTCCCAGCCTCAGTAACTCCCATTTAATTTTCAAAAAGCAGTTCAAACACTACCTCCTCCAGGAAGCCTCCCAGGCTAAGCTCTATCTCATCTTCCTGTGTCCACAGAAGCGGCTGCACAGGCCAGCCAGGTACCAGAGGGCAGAAGTTACACTGTCTTCTGTTTGTCTACGTACCCAGCACAGGGCCCAGTATGTAAGTGATGTCATTAACCATTTATTAAAGAAAGTCCCAGCACTGTGTGTCCAGTATCAGAGCAGGAGGGAAGGACTTAGGAACTAACCTACAGTCTTGTCGTTAAATATCTTGGGAAAGCCTCGATTCGGGTACTTGCCCCGGAGCTGCCACACGTCAAAGAAAGGCTTCCAGTCAATGTAGTCCAGCAGCTTCTGCAGGTCGTAGTCTTCAAAGACCCGGGTCCCGAGAAACGTGGGCTTCACTGCAGAGAAGAAGTCCCCTGTCAACACTGACCTGGCCTGGGGCTGAGCGCCCGCCCGCCCACTGCCTGCCCGCCTGCCACAGGCCCCCCTGGCCGGCTCTCTCCCACGGTCGGCTCCCACGCTCTGCCTCCCTCCTGTCACCCGTAGGAGTTGTTTTACAAAGACGGGAACTTTAAATGATTGTGGAGAAGGAATCATTCTGCAGTGAATCTTAAAACTATTCTCCCCTGCAGCCAACTGACTCCACCGCCCTTGGAAACTTCCCACAGCCCTTCTACCCCCACCCCGCCCAAGAAAAAATAAAGACTTGGGTTAATCGTCACATGTACAAATGAGGACAATACTAAAATAAAGACCACTGTTGGAAGACACGTAAGTCAAGTTTAAAGACGGGAAACAATAATCTCTATCACCCACTGCTACATATGCACGTAGTCCAAGTTTAAGAAATATACGGCACGAGGCTTCCGATTCAGGACCGCGCAGGGCAGGGAGGGACACATGGGGACTTCCACTACACATGCGCCGTTTGGTTGTTTGAAAATAGGCAGTAGGTTATTTCTTCAGTGGCCAGTGGGTATGCATGAACATTCAATATACTGTTCTTCACGCCTCCTCGTGAGTCTAAAATACATCATCAGGGAAATACGGGTGCAAACCCTAAACTCTCTCTTCAGAGACAGACAGATGGTGGCCTGCGCCTTCCCGACACCAAGAGCAGCAACAGCACCCCCTACCCTCAAGCCGGCTGTGGGGTCAGGCCAGAGTCCAAAGCGACAACTCTACAGCCACTTACTTCCTAGCCCTCCTGTCCTATTTCCTGATCTGTCAACAGGGATCAGAGAGCATATGCTACCCCTGCACCCCCTCAGTCTCAGATGCTCTGCGGTAACAGAGGCCTCAGGAGTGTTTTTCTCTCTTTAGATAGTAATAGTGAGAGGTGAAAGTACCGGAAAAGTATGAGCAGCTTAATTTTGGCTAGAAATCTCTACCTTTTCATACATGTTTATAGTAACTCTTTCCCATGTGTTCCTACTCATCTTTTTACTGTACAGGACGAGCCCTGCTTTGTCAACATTCTACTGTGCTGATTTGTTTGTTGACTAAAGGAAACTTCAGAGAGCCTCCTGATAAAATCTCCTCTTGCATGGAAAGGCAGGAGAAACGTCTGGCCGCAGCGTCACTGAAGGATATTGTTCTTGAACAAGCTTGTCTTCCAGAGCTTAAGATTTTGTTTGACGTATTGGCACCGAGGACCTTGAGAGAACAGCCCTTCTTTCTCCCTCTGCTGACTTCCTGCAGCTACTGTAAGGCTGGGCTGTCCTTCAAATGAAAGTGGGGTAACAGCACTTCTGTTAGAGTTGTGTCAGGGAGCTGCTCCAGGTCAATCTCAGGACCATGTCTGGTTCTCCAGAAATGGTACCTGTTTGCTTTTATTTCTGTTATTAGACACAAGAGTCTCTAGCTACCAGTTTGAGTGTCTGAGGGCCACACCTCATAGTCCCAACGTCCCCTGCACAGCAGGTCCTGAGCTTTGCAGAGGCCCCACACTGGGGGTAAAATGGCCACAGGGAAAGTGGCCACCATTGCCTGGAGCCATGCCCTTCAGAGAACTACTTCCACTGAGATGTGTTGTAGATATGTAACTTGGTTAAAATGAACTTCCTCTTGTATATATTTTTCCAATTTCGTAGTGAAAGGTAAAGAGAAAATAATAGTTTGGGTCATTTGGTGATGTATAGCTTTCAAAGGTTTACACACACTATCTTATTTTATCCTCACAACATTTTCATAAAGTAACTCCTTTTTCACACATCAGAAACTGGCAGTAAGATGCTCAAGGTCACTAGATGACACAGGAGCCAGGAGCCCAGGTGGGATTAAAACCAGGCCTCCAACTCCGTCTTCACTCCTTCCCGTAAACCACACTCAGCTCAGCACTTCCGATCTCATCCTCTCGCTCTGCTGAGCATGTGCAAGACACAGACTCCGTGAGCAATGAAAGCTGGCATGAGCTGTTACCTTGGAAATGTGGACTTAATTAACATAACCCCTGTTCACCTGTCTCGTTTCTACATTTGTATCTCATGCCTCTCTGAGCCTGTCAAAACACCATACACATTTTATTCCCCCGTGAACACCTACTTAAAGCAAGAAACGTGGCTAGAAATATGAAAGAGAGGAAACCAAATATAAGAAATTAAAAGAGAGAAGCATCCAGAGAGAGAATAAGAGAGGGTGAACAAGAAACAGGGGATCCTGCTTCGCTGAGATATTTTGAAGGTCTGTTCAATGCGAAGACATTTTCAATTTCAGACATTCCACGTCTGCACTTGGGCCTGCCTGGGACCCAGGCCAGCTCAGTGACAGAACCACCCAGGCAGATCTCCAGATCCTGCTTCAAGCTGCAGCCAGCCCACTCAAGCACAGCACAGAGGACGGAGTGTGAGTTTAGGAGACAGATCAGGGGCAGATTCCTACGAACCTTCCAAGTCATTACCCCGAGCTCAGTATCTTCAAATGAAAGTGGGGATAATAGCACTTCCATTAGAGTTGTGTCCGGGAGCTGCTCTGGGTCAATCTCTATGGACCGTGTTTGGTTCTCCTTTAATGGTTCCTGTTTACTTTTATTTTTGTTATCAGGCCCAATTAAGTCTCTAGTTGCCAGTGTGAGTCTGTAGCCAAGTAAAGGCAAACGTCCCTTCAGCCCAGTTACCACTCGCAGCCTTTCTCTACCCCACAGCCAAACGGACCTGGGTGAGGCTCCGACAGCCAGTCAATATGGAAACCGCTTTTCCTAGCTTCACTTAAGGTTAAGTATCTTCTCTCCTATGAAAAGAAGATGTTATTTAGTCAGAGACTCTTAGGTTGCTACTATGAAAGTATATTCCAGAATGCTAGTATGTAAGTTTTGCAAGAAAACAAATTATTTTATTAATGAAAATTCACATCCTAAAAAGCTCTTCCTTTTCCACCCAATATGGCTTTGCATCAGCACCACAACATTAGACAGTAAAGATTCAAGAAATATCCAGCAAGTACTGATGTGTAAATACGAGGCTGACCTGCAGCCTGAAGGGTGAAGTCTACAGCCTGTGCTTTTGGATCACCAGAGGCCGGGGCTAACTGGCCTGCTGTCCACCACCCCAAGGCCCCAAAGGCAGAAGAACTAATACACTGTCAACTGTGGGCAAAGCCAAGGAGAGGGGAAGAGACCAGATCTGGGGCTAGCCACACCACAGAAACATGTTTCTTCAGGCTACGCGTTATCTCATTCTACCCTCCTAGCCACCCCCAACATGCATCCCCACACGAAGCCCAGAGTTAAGATAACCGGGAAGAAATACCCCCATGGCTTCTATAGGGTAACTGTGTCTACTCTCCATGGGTGCCTGAAGCTCATCTAGAGAGGGACAGAGGCCACACCAGCCTGTGTCTGTGCTGGTGGTCACACAGGGCTTCACACGGTCCTAACATCTTCGTTTGCTTATTTCCTCAAGAATAGGAGTCTGGGAGTCATCTTAAGCACACTGTTTCCGTTCCCATTTCCCTGCCAGGTAAAAGCTCACGTTTCATCCCTTCCGATAAGCTGGGGGTCTAGCAGAGCACCTAACACTTACTGCGTACTACCCAATACGTGTTTGGAGGAATAAATAAGATTCATTTTACTATAACAAAAAATTATTGGGAACTTAGACAATGAAGAACTCTGATTAGAACTAGAAAATAGGACGTCTTTAAAACGATTCTAAACCTCAGAACACTGAAGTCACATTAAAAACCGTAGAATCATTTCAGTACCCAAATAAGCTGCCATCTGTTTTTGTCACTTACCCTGAGAGACTCATAATGGTCCTGTCTTATGTCTTCATACTCTTCCATGATCTCCTCAAAGTACTCATCCTTTAGATTCTCATCTAATAGTTGAGAACACTGAAAACACAAGATCGAAGTCCAATAACCACAGAGCCAAAAAGAAGATAAAACGTGCAACCCTGGTCAGATCTGGCGCCACGGCCTTAGGGAAGCTTCCCTGTGTGATACCATTTCCTGTCCTGCCTGGCTGTGCAATACAGGGTGACTCAGGAGCCTGGGGTGTTTGGATCTTGCACATTCCAAAGCAAGGACTGGCCCTTGGTGCATCCTGCCTGATAAGAGTGCCACTATCTACCTGGGGCCTTGGGCCACCCCAGGCGGTGTATGCTAACCACATGGTGCGTGGGAGGCCCTGCCTCATGCTGTATCTATCTGCTGATCTCTGCAGGGGTTAAAGACTGAGTAACCAAGGTCAGTCACATGGGTGCCCGCACGGCTGATCCCAGGAAAAGCCCAATACCATGGCTCAGACGAGCTTCCCTGGCTGGCGATGCCTGCATGTGCTGTCACACACCACTAGCGGCAGAGTTAAGCACTGTCCATAGGACTCCACAGAGACAGGACATCTGGACACTCCTGAAAAGCGTCACTAGCAATGACCCAAATGACTCATCATCAGACTTATGTTTGAGTAACTGCAAAATGTGGCCATTTCCTTATAGTACATGAGAACCACTGCCAGCCACTTGGCTGGTAAACAGCAGAGATGCCCATGTGCCATCCTTAGCCAGTCTCTGACCGCTTTAGCTCTTCAAGACACTGTCCTCAAAATGGAACCAGGGGGCTGACTCCTCCCCAGTGAACGTCCTTCCCCTAACGTAGGGCCATGGTGCCACTGCGCTTAGATAGGCCCAACAGTCTAGCCTCCACAGGGGAAATGTGCAGTCACTCATCAGCATCTGAACAGGCTACACGCCTTAAAAAGAGGCCCATTGGTGACTCAACCAGAGACTTGGTATAAGCAAATATGAAACAAAATCCAAATATAAGATACAAAGAATTATTTTAAAGCTGAGTTGCAGAAATGTAGTTTATTTGCATGTACCCTACATCAATGACAAAAACCTGCAATTCTATAATTCCAGCCTGACTGAATTTTATGCTTTTTAATGCAGGAGAATCCTTACATATTTAATAGGATCACGTTTAACGCAGCACAGAATAAGACCCCCTGTGTTAGATCCTGGACCTGCCACCTGATGGACAGTTACTAACTGCTTCGTTCCCATTTCCTCATCTGTGAAATGGGAATAATGAAGGTACCTACCTCATGAGGATTAAATCAAGAGCCCACATAAAGCACTTAGCACAGTGCCTAGCACACTATAAGTTTTTAACAATCTTAGCAATTACCATGTAACTTTCATATAAATCAATTCACAGATCTGAAAGAATTCCTTTGGAAAACGGCTCAGGGGAATGTGGCCCTCCTGGTTCAGGCTGTGGCCTCACAAAGCACCAGGCCCCTCACTAACTTTCCTCATTTGCATAAGGTGACAGTTGGACTAAACTTGTGGTTTCTGAATTGTGCTTTTCGATGAGAACTCGGAGCAAGATGAAGGAGAAAAGCAGGAAGAGACACTGAGGTGAGCTGCTGCTTGTATTCACCGAGAAAAAGAATCTACTATTCTGGGTTTTGAACACCGAGTGAATGCTTTTCTGTCTCTGAGGAGGGTCAGCTGGCCTATTCGTTAAATGTTCTTCGATCTGGAAACAGGTCATTTTAAAAACTCTATATTCCTTTAGCTCTGGCATGGAGTTAAGAAAATGTATGTCCATGTTCGTAAGTATTTCTAAATGGCTGAGACCTCTCTCTGGGTTGCAGTCAAGGTCACAGGTGTTTTGCTCCCACGGTTCCTGTCACTCAGACCAGCACTCTCACTGCTCTCAGGAAGTGCTCTCTGAACGCCCAGGGCACTCACTGCCCTCCTTCCAGCAACACAAACAATGGCAGTGACAGCATCACAAGCCACAGGATATCCTTGCACATGTTTTAGTAGAACTGGACAAAAATGAGTAGCTGTTTGGCGATACCCTTAACTCTCAATGACTTTTGTTCTCTCTATGACATACTGAAATAAGGTAAGGCCAACACTTACCACCACCACACTCTTGGATGCGTCCAGGACATGGATTACAGGCGCACTGTACCTTGGAGCTATTTTAACTGCTGTGTGGGTTCTGAAAAGAGAGGTCAGAAGAAAAACATATCCATCAGTGCTGACAGCTCCTACACAAGTCTTGTTCAGAACCATTAGAGAAAATGTGTTTCTACAGTGCTTTCCGGAGAAAGATTTCAGGGTACTTCCACATACTGAACTTCAAATTTCCCTTGTAAAGCAAGAATAACGTTCTTCCCATCTTAAGATGGGGAAGAGACATGGATTTGTTGGCCGGGGCGACAAAGATGTCTGTGACAAATGAGACAGACTTTGTCCTCAGCCCTCTGCCGAGAGGGGTGGAGCCTGTGACCCTGCACTCAAGAGCAGCCTGTATGAACGAAGGGAGCGAAACAGCCCAGGCAACTGCATTTTGCTGTCATAAAGGTGAAGTTGTCTCTTCCTCAAAATGAACTGGGGTACCAGCCAGGGCCCCTAGGAACCAGACACTAGGAAGGGGACACAGGAAGGTGTCCCTGGGACACACCACCATTCCCCAGCCCGACCCCACCTTGTACTTGTAGCGAGGAACCTCAGGCCCTAAGTGAATGCAACACAAAACACAGAGAGGCAAAAGCAACAAAAATATTTTATACTAACATTGGCTCAGCCCCAAATCCCTATTGCCAAACATGAAAATGTCAGTACTGAGGAGGAAACACCCTTTAATCCTTAAAATTACCTAATTAACCAAAACGCAAAGCAATTGCCCTGATTACTGAATGTTTATAGCAATAGCATAGGCTACATATCTGCTATTTCATTATAGAACATAACACTTAAAGTGAGGATGGAAAGCATTGACCGGCTTCCCAGCAGGTAAACCAGGGCCCCAGAGATGGGAGGAAGTGTGGACAGTTCCACTAAGGGGGCGGTCACAGCTGTGCTTTCCCGCCTTTTCTCCTCCTTCCTTCTCCCCTAAAGCAGCAAGCAGCACTCTGCCCCAAGTCAGATACTTTCCTATTCTGTCCCCTCAACTAAACTGTATTTTCATTTAGAAAGATGTCCAGAATATGCTATTGTGAGAAAAAAAACAAAGTAGCATAACAGTATGCTTAAAACAATTCTATATTTTTTAAAAACAAACACTACCACCCACGACCAGCCCCAACCAACGAACCTTATATATAAGTTTCTGTATATTTAGAAAAAACACAGAGATACACATCAAAGTGTCGACATTGGTTATGCGGAGGTGACAGGTGGGACTGAAGGTGGGAAGGGAAACTAAATTTGACTTTATCGTCCTCTGAATCATTTGACAAGTTTTAGTAAGTGTGGATTACTGAGGCAATTTTTAAACCAAGAGTATATTAAAGGTGTAATACATGTGTGTGTATTTCATAGGCTTCTCAAGGGAGGGCTCTAAGAATTCCTTCCTAATGAGACAGACAAGACCACTTCCTGGCCCCTTTCTGAGCGGACCTGTGTTCATGAACAGGAAGTAACTAAAGCCGTAATCCACAGACCTGAGCTCTAAAATGCACGCTCAGGCCTAAACCGGCCAGCACCAGTGACATCTGGACGGGGAGGCTGGGATGCAGGGCAGCAGGCAGCCCACGGCCTGGGAGCAGCCAAGCTCCCTCACTGCCCCCTGAGGACCTGTTCTGTGCCCACTGTATGCTCAGGGACCAAAGACTGGAAGATATGCTGTGTGTCCTGAGGGGGAAGATTTTCAAACAGTAGGAAAGGAAGAAGCTGCTTCCAGTTTCAAAATAGAACCCAAGTCAGACTGTGCCTGCTCCTCTTCCTCAGATGGTCAGCTCCCTAAACACACAAATATACCTCAATATATATTCTGCATGGAGTTCCTCCAGGAAACATTATTTTAAGCCTCATGTACTTAGGTGACATTTCTCTTAAAGAAAACCAGTACATGTTAAAGTTTAAAATAAACACAATTAATATTAATTAAGCATCCAAAGGTTCTCTGGGCCATTCTCTTTGATAAACTTCTGGACAAGGGCACTGCAAAGAAATTGATGGGTTCCACTATTTAAATAAATAAATAAAAAGTAGAGTGCTGCTTTCCAATGTAAAGATTGGCAAAGCTAGATGAGCACAGGCATGAAATTTGAGCTTGCTCAGCCACTGAGAGTATTTTTGGTTTCCTTATAAAATAATAAAACATTGGTTCCACTTTCTTCTACGCTCCCATTTGTGCAGTCTTGTCCAGCTGGACAAAGACTTCTTTCTGAAGTCTGAAAAGATGCAAAGCATTGGACTCCTCCTCCCCTCCCTACATACCAAGAGCAAAGGGCTGGAGCTGAGGCTGAACTGCAAACCCACCTCTGCTAAGTCACGCCTCAACACTAAGGGTTTTTAGGTAGTCATCTCCCACACTTGCCAAATGGACATGATAACGTTAACCTTAGAAGAGCTTCTTAAAAACTCTGAAAAACAACAAGTACTCCGAACACTTATCTCAGGTCATAGCCTACTCCAGAATTAATTTAAAGTGTTTTGCATAAATGTAGCATGACCAAAACCTAAAATGTGATGAGAAAAATGAGAGAAAGGGAAAACAAAGATGGGGAAATTCAGAAGCAATCGGGAGTGAAATCCGCATGTAAAACTTATTCCATGAAATCCTGCACACAGACCTAAGCTCTAAGCTTCCTAGCATTCAACTCAAAGAGGAAACTAGTCTAGTATCAGTTATGTGAATCAGCACCTTACTTCCTAACAGTTAAAAAAAAAAATGAAAACTACCTCTAGCTTTGGACAATGTGACTTCCTCTTGAATTCTTCATTATTCACAAAAAAACAGCTAAAAAAAAATATTTTACAGCTATTAGCTTCAAACCAGTTAAGAGCTGAGAACTAACAAACCACCAGACTCGTGCCCTTGAGAAGCTCTGTAGCCAGCAGGATCAGATCCCCATCAAAGTCCATTCTTGTTTGTGATACCAAAGACACCTGTATGACACACTGGCGAATAGGCCATTCTCTCATAGCTACAGGTTAAAAAGGGACACTCCAAGCACATTTCCACCCCTAGATGGCCCCAAGTCTACATAGCCCTGTGCACCTCTCCAAGGACGCATCCGTCAGACAGCCTTCAGCCTCATGTGAACAGTCTTGGGAACACCGTTCAAGTTCTCTCATGCTGCCGCAGGCCACTGAGGTCTGGGACAGCCATGATGTTACCACCACTCAGAGGTCTGCTCTCACGACACCCCGGAAGTCCTGAGCTGCCATCTGCTCAAATAGTTAGCGAAGAAAAGATGTGGAACAGTGCTGGGCCTTCAGTAGGTCTGTACAAGGTAATAAGAACGCTCTCTGAGGGCTTCTGAGGCATTCAAACTCCTGAATACTTTCTAGCAGAGCTGATTCCCTAGCAGCAGATGGCTTTCTTACACAGATGCAAAAAACACCAACCATAAAGGTGATTCATAAATCAGACTTCATAAACATTAGGAACTTTTGTGATCCAAAAACCCCACTAAGACACCAAAAGGCAAGCGGTATTGGAAGAATCAATTTGCAAAATACATTTCTGATAAATGGCTTGTATCCAATTTAAAAGAATATACACAAATCAGTAAGAAAAAAGGCAGAATACCCAATTTAAAAAAAAGACTTAAAATCCAAAAGACTAGACATATGAAAAAGTATTCAACATCATCAGTCAGCAGAGAAATACAAATGAAAACCATATCAAAATATTATTACATACACACCAAAATGGATAAAAATGGAAAATGATGTGGAATCAATTGGAACTCTCATAACTGCCAGTGGGAGGATAAATTAATACAATCACTTTGGAAAACTGCCTGGCGATATCTAATGCAGACGATCATATGCGTATCTTATGACCCAGCAAGTTTGCTTCATGTCAGAAATATACACATAGCAGCATCGGTGTAACAGTCCCAAAATGGAAAAACCCACATGTCTAGTAGTATGGACAATAAATAAACCATAGGATGTTACACAGTGGAATATTATACCACAATGGGAAACAAAGAAACAATTATCATAACAATGTGCTTGGGCCTCAGACATAATGTTGAGCAAAATAAGCCGACACAGAAGCAAGTCTCCAACAGGATTCCGCTGGTAGAAAGCTGAACCGTAGGCAACGGCCTACAGTGACAGAAGACAGGACAATGGTTATTGTTGTTGGAAAGGAGCCCAGCGAAGTTCCAAGAGCCGCTAATATTGTTTCTTGATCTGGGGGTGGTTGCAGGGGTGGGGTCATTTGGGTAAAACTGCATCAAGTTGTGCATCTGTGGTTTGTGAGCTTTTCTGTATCACTATTACACTTCAGGGAAAGCGCTCGTTAAGAGGGCTTGGTAAAGCACGACTCCAGGTCTGAGACACCCACTGTCACTGTTTCAAGTGGAGTCGGAACGAGGAATTTACACTGAAGTTCTTTGGGGCTGCTTGAGCACCATGATAAAGGAGGTGGTTACTTGGAAGCACTGCTGCTGGCTTTTATTTTCCCAAATAATTTTCTCAAAAGTTGGGAGAACAGACCCAGAAAGGGCAGAGCTCATGGAGAAATGAAGCACCAGAGAGCTGGAAGAAACCTGGGGGTCCAGGGACCCCGCCGTCTGCCTTCCGGTAGGAACACAGTCACAGTTCCCCAGGCGATAGGAAGAGGCATTTGAGAAGACATGAAGAGACAGGAGTGATTTCCAATCTGATTAATCCCAACCTGATATACCAGGTTAGAACTGTTAAGAGCATTTATGGCTAATTTTGCCAGTGATATATCTTGGGCGCTTAGTCATGTTGCTTCTGAATGTTTATTTAAAAACCTCATTAATCTGGTGGCTCTCACTTGACAAAATCGAATGGACTATTTGGAAATGTTCCAATTTGCACAAGTAGCAATGTGGTTTCCTGATGTTGAACTTTGGAGTGTAATGTCCTACCATATAAAATGGCTCTTATTGGGCCGGCCGAGTGGCGCGTTGGTTAAGAGCTGGCTTGGGACGCCGGGGGACCCCGGTTCGGATCCCACATATGAGGGCCAGTGACACTGCCCTCTACAGCTAAGATGCTGAACAACAACTCAACCTGGAGCTGGGCTGCCGTGAGTCACCGGCGACGGCGTGGGCTGTAGTCCTCTGCTGCAGTGGGTTGCCATGGGCTACCGTGTGTGGCCAGCGGCCAGCGTGAGCGGCCAGCAGCCGCGGTGAGCGGCCTTCCAGAAGCCGGCGACTGATCTGCCTTGCCCGGGAAGAGTGCAGTGATGGTGCCAACTTGGGCCAGTGGGGCAATGTCCTCCACAACTAGACTGAAGAACAAAGTGACAGCAACTTGTCTGTTCCCCTTCCCCTGATTCCCCAGCACTGTTCCCCTCCCCCAATTCCCCAATAAAATCTTTTAAAAAATTAAATAAATAAATAAATAAATAAAATGGCTCTTATTTTGAAACCAGCATCACATTTACATTAACTCATAATGCAATTCATTACATCTGCTCATTTAAATATTTATTTATTATATTTTACCGTGATTTTAAGAGGTTTTTCATGTCTGACAGCAGCTATAGGTTCTCTTACCATTCTCTTTAACTAAGCTAATGAACATTCGAATATTCACACCACAACCATCAGTTACCCAAGACCATGCTCACTGAAACCCCGGTTATCAATGCTTGGTCACATCCCTGGAGATAGATCTGTCACATGTCCTAGTGGGTAAGTACTTCATGGAAAAACAAATCATGTTTTCTAATGTAAGCAACAACAACCACACTACTGAATCCTCGAGCACGCAAAGCAACTAGCGGATAAACGACGTATGATACTGTGGCTACCTGTGAAAATGATCCACGCAGATTACAATGTGACGATGGTTAATTTTGTGTGTCAATCGGGCTAGGTCATAGGACCCACCGCTTGGTCAAACACCATCCAGATGACTCTGTGAAGGTGTACTTTGGATGTGACTAACACGACATCAATAGACTTTGAGTGAGGCGGATTTCCCTCGCTCTGTGGGTGGGCCTCACCCAGTCAGCTACGGACGCGATGTATGAGAGAAGACTGAGGTACCCGAGGAAGACGGACCTCTGCCTCCAGGAGCCTTTGGGCTCGACTGACAGACACATCAACTCCCTCTCTCTCCCCCACATATATAGAGAGAATAGATGCATATATACTTGCATATATTGAACTAGTTTCTGCATATATCAACTACTGACTAAGCTTCTCTGGAGAACCGTGACTAATGCAAAAGGCTTAGCATAGTTATTTCGAGTGTGAAAGGAACTCTGGAATGGCTCTGACGGGACCTCCAGTGTGTTTCTGTGTCCGAAACATAAACTGAACGCTTTGTGGGATTATCCAGTTCCGTGCTGCACCTGGGCACTGTTCCCTGACAAAATGCACATACGTGCTGTCGACATAAGAACGTCCAAACCTACAGAGAATGTTTATAAGAGCCAAAACTGACAATTGCCAAGAAGCAAGATCTCAAACGCCCTGGAGTATGACAGTTTTGCAGTTTCTTTTGCGCATTTGGAATTAAGAAGATCTGATGGAGGTGGGAGAAAGCAACGCAGGGATTGCATTACAGGATAGTTAAGACTATGTGCTCTCATGAGGGTGGTTAAATCTTCAAGGGGTGTCGCCTGTGGCACTTCAAAGGCGCATTAACCTAACCTAAATGCACAAGAACAATAGGCAGGGCTGGCTCAGACCTTTCACTACAGAAGTTACAGGCCTGGGGCGTGGCTATCCATGGCCTGCTCAGTTAGGAATTTATGATTACAGAACTCTTTGTCCACAGTACCATAGGAACATGTCACAAAATGTCTAATACACATAATTAACATATTTCTCACCAAATATCATTAGGATCATGACCCTAGGAAAAATCTGATAAAATAAATCATGATCATGTGATCAAATGTAAACTTCCTCCTCTTTAAGTTGTAACCCAAAGGTTCCCCTTTTCAAAAACAACTTCCCAGGGCCG